GCTAAAAATGCGAAGTTAGCCCCATTCAATTCTGCAATTTTCCAGAAACATATGATTTTTCCCAATGTCGCTTAAAAAAAGCAAGGTTAACCCCTTACAATTTGAAATTTTTATCCACATCTTATTTTGCCAAATTTCACTAAAAAAGCAAGGTTAACCCCTTACAATCTGAAATTTTCCAGAAAGATCTGATTTTTCCCAATTTCGCTAAAATATGCAAGGTTTAACCCTTACAATTTGAAATGTTTCATAAACATCTAACCCCATACAATCTGTAATTTTCAAGAAACATCTGATTTTTCCCAATTTTGCCAAAAATGTAAGGCTAACTCCTTGCAAACTGTTAAATCAATACATGAAGTGTCCCATTTGACTTTTTTAAAACAAATTATATTTCCAGTTTGTAGGGTAAAGTAATGTTCTCTTTTTCCTTTCTCTTTTGTTGTTGCTATATTTTGCGAATTAACTCATTCGTATGGAAGATCATAGTCAATCAAAGAATATTTCACACATAGGGGCCTAAATTATATTTTTTAATTTAATAGAGACGCAATGATCGTGCTATCATATACCATTCCATTAATATTGCGAATTACTGTATTGTTTGGAATGCTCACAATTAAAGACACGTTATTTGAAAGATGTATAAATAATATTTATATTACAATGTACATCTTTATTCTTTCCCGGTATAATTTATGGCGTTTCTTACGTCAATTGGCAATCGCGTCATTATATAATGATAGTCAAATTGATCAAACGAAACTCCGTTTTGATTATAGTCAATTATGAAATATTCATTGATTTATGACATACACCTTTGTTTCAATTTTGATACTACCCGTAGACCTGCCGAGCAGCTGTAGATATCAAACTAAACCAAAGTATAAAAGATAGAGGGTAAAAAAAAATCAAAAAGTTATGTGCTAGTCAAGCTTTCAGGGATCGGTCTGAGCCATAACAATGCCCCAGCCGATCCCTTAGTTCTCTTCCGGGGTCTCGGCGTCCCCGACCAATACACACTTCCTTCCCTATCCATCCATATAACCCCGGAGGGCCAGGCACCATGTAAAAGCAAAGAGCTAAGGGAGGAACAGGGCGGCCCCTAAGCCCTGATCCTCCGAGTGGACCACATGCCCTGAACCTGTACGAAGGCGCCAACCTGGAACTCGCGGACAGTACCAGCAGCAGTGCTTACCGATTAAGCTAAGGTACTGTTGGTACTTTACGACGGGAAATTAAATCTCTTATAGTAAATGATTGAACTCATACATTAAAACCAAAAAGACACCAGCGGGATTCGAACCCGGGACCCCGCTAATCGTGGACGACGAATCGTAACCACTCGGCCATTTCGTTACCTTAGAATTTTCCTTAAACTGAGAAAAGTTGTCTTTATAGGTGAGCAAACGCGCCAGGAAGATTACTGGGTCCATTTGCTTTACCTTAATGGGTAAAAACAAGTCTATATAATGAGCCCAGTGTGTTTGGTTTGTTAGGAAGCTGCATAACACAGCCTAATGTGCAAAACAGTCGTGTGCTAGGCGGATCATTACGCAACAATGAACACCGCAATTGTGTATTTTCAAAAGGCAGACGCGTAGATTTCTACTTTTTGTATCTGGGCACATATAGATTCTCACCTCCCTCTCCAGCTATTTCGACTTTCTTAAAAAAAAAAATAAAGACTGTCAGCGAATCTCCGGGAGTTGAAATAAGGATCGTCCCCTCGATAGACCTCAGACTCAGTAAAGTTCAACATTGGGCTCTTTTTTAACAGCTGTTTTTGCGGAAACTTTACATCTGGATTTTTTAGAATTATCTGATTTTGCCCAACTTTAGTAAAATATGCTCCAAATTTTGCTAAAAATGCAGGGTTAACCTCTTACCATATTAGATTTTTCATACAAATCTGATTTTGCCAAATTTCACTAAATATACAAGGTACACCTCTTTCAATTTAAAATTTTTCATAAACATTTCTTTTTGCCCAATTTTGCTAGAAATACAAGGTTAAGCCCCAATAATCTGCAATTTTCCAGAATCATCTGACTGTGTCCTATTTTGCTAAAAAAAAATGCAAGGTTAACCCCTTACAATTTGATTTTTATTCACGAACATCTAATTTTTCCCAATCTTATTCAAAAAGCAAGGTGAACCCCTTACAATCTGCAATTTTCCAGAAACATTAGATTTTTTTTCCATTTTCGCTTTAAAAGAATGCGAGGTTAACCCCTTTCAATTTGAAATTTTTCGTAACACCTAACCTTGCAAAATTTCACTAAAAAAGCAAGGTTAATCCCTTACATTTGAAATTTTTCGGAAACATCTATTTTTGCCCAATTTCGCTAAAATATGCAATGTTCACCCCTTACAATTTGAAATGTTTCATAAACAGCTAACCCCATACAATCTGCAATTAGTTTCCAAAAACATCTGATTTTTCCCGATTTTGATTAAAAAAAATGCAAGGTTAACCCCTTACAATTTGATTTTTTTTCATAAACATCTAATTTTGCCCAATTTTACATCAGCTTATGCCAACAAATTATCAGGTAACTGGGACAGGTGCACATCGGCCTTGGAGCTCAGACCATGTGTAATGCACTCCTCAATATTAATGCATAGATGATGCACGCAACACAATGGGTAGTACAGGCACAGCTGGGGGTACTGCCCAATCAATGGTGAACGCATTGCGTATGCTTAGGAATTACCCACAATTCCGGTTTTTACCGTTAAGGTCTGGCTCTAATTACTTCACGCGATCCCCTGACGTCTCATACACTGACTTTAGGCAAAATAGTCAGACTTTCGCGGTCTAGTAACCAGACTTTGACTCTTAACGAAACATCGCATGAAAAGGGAAACATCAAATGCATATTGCAAAAGATCGAATGCAAACATACCGATGAAACATCGAATACAAATAGCTCGAAATGTCAAACATATGTGTAAAACATTGCTCACATATTATTTGAGAATATCGCAAATATATTGTAAAACAACACACACAATTGTATCGAAAAACATCGCACATTTAATGCAAAAAAATCGAACATAATATTGAAAACATCGCACATATATATCGTCAAAAACATCGCACATATAAATTGAAAATCGCATATAAATGTAAAACATCGCACACATATATTGAACATCGCACATATATTGTAAAACATCGCACAAATATATTAAACATCGCGCAAATAATGAAAAACATCGCACACTTATATTGAACATCGCACATAAATGTAAAGGATAACAAACACATAATGAACATCCAACATATGTATTGCAAAATATTGAATATTGCAACGTTTGACACGCCATATTACACTATAACACATAATCCCATGGGCAAAAAGAAAAACCAAAAATTCACAATTTCCTGGAATTAATATAAGGACAAATCCCAATATTGGCATTTTTATTAACCTTTGTAATGAGCCACGCCGTTAAATGGTTTTATTCATTGTGTATACTAGTGTGGAGTTGTTAACCTAATTTTATGCATCTTATCTGTACCTCATCCTGCCATTTAATAAACAAAACTAATAAAATAAAATTCCTTGCTCTCGCCCGTTTGATTGATATTTATTTATATTTTTTACCTCGCGTCAACTGTTAAACATATATGATAACTCAGAGAAAATCTGAAAATTATTCCGCGTAAATTACTTTCAGTAAACTTGAGTTGGTTTTTTTCTTATTACTTCTATCAACAACATTAGTATGTCTCAAACAAAAATCAATTGCGTCACAATGATAAAGAACAGATGCATGTTTGACATTTTTTTTATATCAGATCAAAGATTTACCTGTCAGAATTACAACCACTCAAAATTATTGTTTGCTGATGAAAGCTGAATTTTGTCGCGTTGGTTGAGTTTTTCAGTTACGTTTGCAGTTGCACTCAGCACCCACCATAAAATGCTCATCAAGGCTTATATGCTAAAAAGGAATAAACAAAGTAGAAAACATGTGCTGGACACCATATGGAAAGAAATGTCTTCTACTGGTTCTGAAAAGAACCGGTATGTTGAGTGCTCTTTTCAGAACCACACTTCTTCCAAGAAGAGATTTCTTCCACAAGATGTTACCCGTAATTTTTCTACTTTATCTCATACGCCATGCGAAGTTTCAAGTCATATTTAAGGAATATATACTTACACATTTGCATATATGTCAACACTGATCATAAACCTACATGCATGGGTTGGGGGTGGCGTGTGATGACAGAGTTTGTTGTTTGGATGTCAAATTATCATATTTCCTGTCGGGAGGTAACACGATGAGTATATTGTATTTATACGTCCGCGTAATCTGGTGAAGGGCAAAACCTAATATTGATCTATCAAAGATGATAAAAAAACCTTTGTTCTCCGTCTTTGTACTTTTCACCCTATGAACATATGCTCCTATTTTGGGTTGCTTTTGCAACCAAGTACAGTGCACCAAAAACAAAACTGATGTAATTGTTGTAGTTATGGTTTACAATATGGAAGTCCAGGGGATATGCCAGTATTTATTTTGGGTGAACTGACAACATGACGGGGAATGATTTAACCTTGGCGGAGGTCTGTGCTCTCTGAGTGCTTCCTAGTTTATTATGTGCAAACCTAGGAATAGAGTTTCATGCTGGCATGATGAATAAAATTGAATTGAATTGAACGGAATCCAAAACGTCACCCGTAATTCAAGGACACAACGGGGAACTGTAAATGTAATTCATTTCACAGATAGATCACATATCGGTGTCGTTTTTCTCTCGGAGCGATAAAATTACGCTTTTCTGAAAAGACTTAAACGGTGGAGGCTAATCAGAAAAGCAATGTCTGGTAGCTCTATTGATACAGTTGGCGCGTCTTTAAACCTTCACAACGGGGACACGATACAGCCTGACGATACGGCCAATTAAATAAGTATATATTCTGTTTGTAAAGTACATGTATATATGGCCTGCGTTGTGCGTGTTTTTTTTTGCAGGCATTCAATGAGAATCTACGGTTAAGGAGTTTTGATATGACTTTGAGGTCTGAAATACATGTATATGAATTTTGCCCTTTGAAAAAAAAAATATGCGAAACTTTTCAGTGGGACAACTCTCTATGTAGGATACTGATACAGGCGCAACCAGGGAAACGGAATTACACCAACATCGCGATCTGCGAACACGAACAAACATCTTACATGTAGCATTACCATAGCGTTGTACTAACTCGACTCAAAGCCGGTATCATGAGATGCTTGTGGATGCGTGCTATTTTTCTGTTTATGACAACAACCCTATCTTTCGGATCTAAACGGGACGAATGGTGGAAGAACACGATCGTGTACCAGATCTACCCGCGTTCATTCATGGACTCGGACGGTGATGGGGTGGGGGATCTGGCTGGCATCACATCTTGCCTGGAGTATTTCAACGACATTGGTGTAGGCACCATATGGTTGAATCCCGTCTACAAGTCGCCCATGGCCGACTTTGGCTATGATGTGGCCGACTTCAAAGATATCGATCACATATTCGGCACAATGGCTGATTTTGATGAGTTGATCAGTAAGGCACACCAACTCGGCCTTAAACTCTTGATGGATTTCGTCCCCAACCATACCAGCGATCAGCATCGGTGGTTCGTCGAGAGTAGGAAAAGCAAAAACAGCACCAACCAATACAAAGATTACTATGTCTGGGAAGACCCTAAGCAAGACTGCTCTGATCCTCCACACCAATGCATACCAAATAACTGGGTGAGTGTATTCGGCGGTTCCGTTTGGGAGTGGGTACAGGAGAGGCAGCAATTTTACTTACATCAGTTTCTGAAGGAGCAACCGGATTTGAATTACGCCAATCCACAGGTACAAGCAGAAATGGATGACACGTTGCGTTTCTGGCTGACTAAAGGCGTGGACGGTCTTCGCATGGATGCCACCAGGCACATTTACGAAAACGACAAACTTGAGGATGAGCCCTTGAATCCTGATTACACGGATAGTGTACCGGGTGAGCATGCTCAATACCAAAGCCTGCTCCACACCAAGACGGTCGATCTGCCGAAGGTGTATGACGTCACCTACCACTGGAGAGAGATCCTTGACGAGTTTAGTGATAATCCGGATTGGCCCGGGTATCCGAGTCGATTAATGGTGGTAGAGGTGTACAATTCACACAAGGCACTTCTGCCATACTACGGAACGTCGGACCGTCGAGGGGCAGATTTCCCCTTCAACTTCGGTTTGGTTTACCTCAACAAGGAGAACATGTCCGGGATTAAAATACAGGAACTGGTTAATGCTTGGATGGAGGATCTGCCGCCTGGCAAGTGGCCTAATTGGGTTACTGGTAATCACGACCGACCTCGCATCGCTGATCGTGTCGGGATAACATATACACGAGCCTTCAACGTCTTGAATCTTCTCCTCCCTGGCACACCAACCAGCTACTATGGAGAAGAAATAGCGATGGGGAACATTTGGGTCGCATTCAACAAAACGCAAGACCCCTTCGCGATAAACAACCCAAACCACTGGGAGAACTACACACGCGATCCGGAACGTTCCCCGATGCAGTGGGACAGGTCACATCATGCTGGCTTCAGCACTACTACCGGGGATACATGGCTTCCCGTCAACCAGAACTATCTCTCAGGGGTCAACGTTGCTGACCAGATGGCCGATAACACCTCCACACTGGCGCTGTACATGAAATTAGCAGCTCTTCGAAAAGAGCAGCCCGCCTTCCAAACCAACCACCTCAAGTACGTTATCGTTACTGAGAATATCTTCTCCTTCCTACGTATGCCGGATACACCGGGCCTTGAGTCCTTCCTAGTCATCATCAATGCTGGTACCTCAAATTCCACTGATGACTACTCCGCTGCACTGAAGAAGAAGATGATGATAACAGAAGACAATAGTGGGATTGTCGTGGTCAGCAGCAACATGGATCGTAACGGCAAACCCCAGGGGATATGTAACGTCCATGTTGCTGCAGGCGAAGCTATTGTAATCAGGATCTCAGTTTATGTGATCAACTCAGAACCAGCGCCATCTCTGTCACCCTGTCTTATCCTTGCAACAATGTTGGCAATTATTTTCAGTGGTATCGTATTCAGATATCAGTGTACTTGAAATAAATCTTTTATCTTTGTCGAAAAGGTGATGAATTAAATAGGCAGCTGTGTTGTAATCTGGCTGCACACGCACCCCTATGCACTAAATTGGTTATTATAATTGGTAATTACAGCTGCATATACATGCCACACGAACCCGACATGATTTTTTACCGTGACATTGTTTTTGGCGTAATGTAGAAAAGTCTCCAAAACGATTTCCTAATTAATTTGTTATGGGTAACCTTCGGAAAACAGGAAATGGGGCATCACTAACATTTATTTACTATTGGTACAACAATATTCTCAGTTGAATGGAAAAGTAATCCTAAACTTTTATTTAATTTGAGTCTTTGGGAATAATGGATATGTCCTTTATTATCGTATAATTCGAATTGTAGTTGATATAATCGAAATATTTTGAACTGGCTTCAGTAGTTTGATTCATTTATCTGTTTTTCTGTCTCTCTTTAATTGTCTTAGTTGGTGTAGAAAGCGAGAAGTCGGATAAATCCTTAATAAAAAGGTTAGGGACGCTAAGTAACAAAGTAAACCGAAATATTTTCTTTCCAGTAAATACATAGTGAACAATAATGGTGTGTGGCCTCAAACTTTCAACTATGTTTTTCAACCTATTTTGTTAGAACTAATTTGTGACGCGCTTTATCGAAAATGAAGAATGTTCCTTTTATGATATAAACCAATCCGAGTACTCTTCAAGCATTTTGCCAGCTAGCTTTTGTTCAAATGAACCATCAGGGAGAAGTTGCTGCAATGCTTTCGTCATGGGGGGGGGGGGGGGGGGGGGTCTACGAAAATACACAGTGATAGTAGGTAGGTCAAAACGAGCGGATGCGCACGTAATATGGAATATGTATTCTATGACATAAAGATTTAAGGTAGCACCATGTGACAAATCGCTTTTGTGAGATTGTGAGGTTCTGAAAAGAACCGGGGTAAACTCAACGTTTCGGACATTATACTCTGCTGGTCGTCACGGGTACTTTTATTGGTTTTATGTATTGCTTACGTTTATTTCGTTTGCCAAAATATATTTAGTGCTTCAATATTTTCCCGCCATACTCTTTAAAACAAAAAGTTTTGTTCCATCAGAACTGGGGGGCACAATGTGCCCCTGGCCCTATGAAAGCTAAAAATATTGTAATAGCTCTGGAACGCCGCATGAAATTTGATAACTATTCCTAACGTTTATCAGGGATCAATAAAGTACCTAAATTATTTCTGTAGGGTGTTCCTGGTTAGCGTGGCAAATGATATAAACGCTTTAGTAATCATACACTTTGGTTGTTTTTGTGGAAATACATGTATGCATTTCGGTGAATCAAATTCAACTTTTTTGATCGACCGAAACTATCAAGTATCCACGCGCTGACGTAGCTCACTCGGGCCATCCACCTCCCTCGTTCACAAAATGACATCTCCATAATTCTTGTGGTTCATTAAAGGAAAAAAGATCAAGTACGGTTTTTGTTTTACTGAACTACATGAGACATTGTACATGTGAGGTACAAAAAACACTGACCACAACTCATGGCCAGTGTTGGTCAATGACACCCAAGACGTAGTAGCACTGAAAGTCGACACATTTCTTCTAACCCTCCCGCCCTTAAAAATATCCCACACAGTTTGTTATAGTTTTGGCTCTTTTATTTTTTTTTCTAATCTTATATGCAGTGCTTATATGAGGATTCTCTTTTGTTTCTTAGTTTGCTAGAATAATAATAGACTCTAGTGTATGCGGTTTGGCCTTGTTGAATTTCTTAAAATCAAGTTGATTCGACAAAGTAGTCTTAGAATAAATGGTTCACCATTAATGTACCCAAAACAGCTTGTCTCCTCATTTATAAATTGAGAAATTCTACCAAGTTATAGCGTTATATTTCTAGGCAGGGCCAGCCGAAGGCGGAACCTCTCTAGCTTAATCCCCGGCCGGCGGGGTCCCATGATGTCACTAGCAGTGCAGTTAAGGCCTGTCAGCGCCAACCCGCACCAGCTGTATCGCAGTCAAAAGGTATCTCAACATTAGAGGTTCTGGACAAACTATACGTTGTTGGAAAGCTAATGATTAGGCCTGGACATTTAGCAAGTCTCGAGACCCAAGACTTTTGGAGAAAGCGCCAAATGTCTTTCATGATGCCCCTTGTTTCACTTTTGTGCAGTAAATTCCATAGCAAGTCCTGTAAGCGCCAACCAGCATTGGCTCTTGTGTATCGCAGTCAAAATGTACCTGGACATGGGTGGTTCTAGGCAAACTATACGTTGTTGGAAAGCTGATGAGTGGGCCAACAAGCTGGGAAATAGGCATATCTGAATTACCCACGACTTTTAGAGAAAATGCCAAATGTATTACATGATGCCACCAGTTTCATTTTTGTGCTGCAAATCACATAGCAAGACCTGTCAGCGCCAACCCACACCGGCTCTCATGTATCGCAGTCAACATGAGTGGTTCTGGGAAAAATATATATCAGCGCCGTTGAAAAACTGCTGAGTAAGCCAAAAAAGCTGGTAAATAGGCAAGTTTGCAGACCCAAGGCTTTTTAAAGAAAATGCCACATGTATTACAACATGCCACTAGTTTAATTTTTGTGCAGTAAATTCCATAGCAAGGCGTGTCAGTGCCAATATGCGCTGGCCCCATTTATCCCGGTCAAAAGGTACTTAACATGGGATGTTCTGTACAAAACATACGTTGTTGAAAAACTGATGAGTAAGCCAACAAGCTGGCAAATAGGCAAGTCTTGAGACCCAAGACGTATGGAGAAAGAGCAAGATGTAATACATGATGAAACTAGTTTCATTTTTGTGCATTAAAATTACATAGCAGGGCCTGTCAGTACCAACCCGCAGCTGTTCTCATGTATCGCAGTCAAAAGGTACCATAACGTGAAATGTTCTGGGCAAACAATACATTGTTGGTGAGCTGATGAGTGGACCAACAAGCCGGGAAATAGACAAGTCTCCAGACCAAAGACTTTTGGAGAAAATGCCAAATGTATTACATGATGCCACTGGTTTCATTTTTGTGCTGTAAATCATAGCAAGGCCTGTCAGCGCCAAACCACACCGCTTATGTATCGCAGTCAAAAGGTACCTCAACATAAGAGGTTATGGGCATAATATACGTTGTTGGAAAGCTGATCAGTGGGCCAACGATATGAGATATAGGCAAGTCTCCATACCAAAGACTTTTGAAATAAATGGCAAATGTATTACATGATGCCACTGGTTTAATTTTTTGTGCAGTAAATCCCATAGCAAGGACTGTCAGCGCAAACCTGCATGGCTCTCATGTATTGCAGTCTAAAGAACCTTACCATGTATGGATTTGGACATAACTTTAGCTTAGTGGAAAGCAAATGAATAGGCCAAAAAAGCTGCCAAATCGGCAAGGCTTCAGACTTGAAACTTTTGGAGTGAGCGTCATATGTATGTACATGATGCTACTAGTTTCGTTTTTGTGCAGTAAATTTCATAGCATGGCCTGTCAGCGCCAACCGGCATGGCTCTCATGTATCGCTGTCTGAAGGTACCTTAAGAGAATTTAGTAGTATGGGCATTAGCACTAGTGTCTATGGGAAACTTGTCAGGAACCGCCGAAGAATTAATGTGATATAATGTGATGGAAGTTGCAGTATGAAGGGCACTCCGTATTTTATCGTCATGCAACAATTTCTTACAACGAGGGCGCGCTACACAAACACTGCTCGCCGCGCTGATCCGACGTACGTCTGGCCGTTCGAGATCATGTAAACACAGTTATTGAAAGTTGACAGGAACCGCCAAAGAATGAATGTAATATATTGACGTGTGATTTAATGGTGCACACCTGTGAATAGGCCTATACCCATCCGCCCAGCACATGAATAAAAGTTATACCCTCAAAATATTCTATATTAGAGAGTTCTGAGAGCCATAAAATTGGGGAATTGGAAGAATATGGCAATGAACCTCTGGCCCAGCCTTGGGACTTCCCGAGCATTTTGGATGGAATGTAGCTTGAAAGTGCTGCTATTTTTTATGTTGTGGAGGGATTGTTTTTCAAGATGGCTACATTTCTGCTTTCGGAAAAATAGGGGTCTTCTTCTGTCGGTGAGAATTTCTCGAAAAGTAGTCAACCCACCAAAAACTGAAAATAAAATTAAAGATGACTCGGACATACTGATCGCCATTTCTTTGTGCAACTTAAATACATTTGAGATTCCGAGTATTTATCTTAAAAGAATTTAGAAGTATGGGCATTTAGCACTAGTGTCTATGGGAATTTTAATACAATGTTGCACCTGTAAGGACTCCGTAGTTTTCTCATGTCAACATAGTTATTGTGAAATTGGGAACTCAAGATAAAAACACATTATAGATTTTGATGTGTGCTGCGCCAGGAGGCAGCTCTCCTATCTAACGCAACCTTTATGTCTATGAACGCAACTCAGCTCATCGCAATAATCACATAGCGCCCTCTCTTGTTTGTGTATTTTTATTGCATTAAGCTGCGCTGCATATGCAGCGCTATCGCGCCCGATATTTCTAGAGCAGATGTGGAGTACGGTACAGTACGTGCCCGACAGAGATCTGTTCGGTTCAGATTTGACTGAAATATTGAGATTGTTTCTGCAATTGTGTTGTGAGTATTTTAACGCTATTATTTTTACGTTACCATTGTCATTGATTTGAAATTTGTTCAGTTTAATAAATAATCTGATATTTATTTATGACGAGGCGCGATATCGGACGTCATGCATGTCGGAGTGTGCAATTGCAAAACGCTGAATGGCTGATGCACGATCACAATATTCACACATATACTCATACTGAGTCATTATAATTAGTACTAGACCCATGAACGTCCCTTCAATATGACACAACCTGAACATTATTTTACCTTGTGATAAGCACTCGTTATGAAACTTCCCTTTCTCGAAATCTACTTCTAAGTTCTACTGCAAATCTTGCATTTGAACGAAATCTGACGTAAAATCTGGCCCAAGAAATGAAGAATTAATTGCCAAGATCTGAACGTCCTGCAACCTCCTCCTGATTTACTGGACTCATACCAACCTCGTCCCTATAGTACTTACTTTATTTCCAAACTCGTTTCCAATAGGAAGCAGGAAGTGCAGACGAGGTTGGACTTGCCCAACCAGTACGGGCGCACGCACAAATCGGGGGACTGTCCCACGATACAGGAAAGTCCCCCAATACAGGGACAAATTCTGTTCCCTCCCCCCCCCCTTTCAGAGACTGTCCCCAAATCCAGAGACATTTATCTCAATTGATCTATTCGCCACTTTCGCATTCCGAAAGTGTCAAATCAATTCAGCGTGAAAAAACACTAGGGTTTGCTGTCTACTTACATAATCGTCTGATCACATACATCTCAAGTTAATACATTGGGAAAACAAATCACTCAAAAACCCAGCTGCAACTTGCAAGGCCGTAAGTTCTGTGATACCAGTATCGAAACCAATAAATACCAATAAAAGTGTTTCACATGTATTCACTGGATGACTCTTCATTTAAGTTTGTTTTATTAAGCAAAGTTTGACAAAGAAAAGACATCCTGATAATTTCTATAATAATAAAACAATCCTCACTTGATCAGATGAAATTAACATGTTTATATGTAGGTTGTGCACATTATTCATGTTATTACAAGAGAATCCACTTAACATAGATGCTTGTTCTCGTTGACAAATCAGACTAATAAGACCAGTGTTCAGCCTACACATTTGAAGAGTTTCAAGCCTGTTTGCTGCATTTATGTTCCCATATCCATAAACACACCTGATTAACAGGGAAAACATTGCAAGAGAAACGATGCATTATTTCTTTATTACATGTATTCAACTAAACTAAAGGTTTACCATTGTTTTTTGGAGTTTTCATTAATAGAAAAAAAAAAAAAATGTTATGATGCAGCGATCACGGGCTGTGCGGAACCACTTTTCGCTCGACACTTTGCCAACCGCAGTACAGGAAGTCAATGTCAGTGCGTGATTTGTTGAATGCCGACTTACACAAAGAATTTTGTAATGCTTTTTATGGAAAGGGGACAGAGAGTAACACGACGACTGGTGGTTTTCATAATTGAGAACCTTGAAATTTGTGAATTAAAAAATTTATGTATTCACTGTTTTGTGTGCACACATGTACCGGTATCTGTGTGCATGTCTAGTTCAGTGGGACAAGTCTTCGCTTTCATTATTGCAAGTCTTGAATTGTAAAATGATAAGTACATGTTCGTATTAAACAGGCTGTTATCATCTGAATAAAATCTAGATTTCGGTATGAAGTCTAACCGTCTAAGTTGGAAAAATAAAGCAGGAAATTTGCTATTGATGAAGAACATAACAATTGTTGAGGTTACACATATGCCAAGATTTGCCAGAATAATCTGCACGACCCTTACAAAATGTTACAATATAATGTGCTACATGTATGAAATTAACGAGGAGAGCAGACTCTTTTGAACGCTATTGCCTTAGTACATGTGTATGCCTGGTGCTCACATAAAAAATGCATCATCGTGTCCATGTACATGTACATACATGTACACCTGCTGTGTACATGTATGTGTACAGACATGTACCGGTGTACATGAAATGCACAGAATCCATGGTTAAACTTGAAAAAGTACAATTTATATTGTTGTAGTGTAGGCCCTACAAATTGATACCTCATGGAACTACCAAAAAATATAACAATTTAAATGGTTAAAGAGAATATGTACATCATTGGATTTTGCTGTAATTTTCAGAAATAAACTATTTGAGGGGTTAGTATGATACCGGAAGATCAAATATTGTTACACTGACATGTTTGAAGTTTTGTGTTCGAAAATGCTGGAAAAAACCAAGAGAAACAAAGATGTTCAAGTAGTCTGGTTCCCTGACTCCACTAAATATAAAATGGATCAATTTATAGATGCCGGAAAATTGTAAGGTAACGGAACTGCAGTCTAGCTGGCCTGCACCCGTTCTTGAACATGTAACCAATAGCAAACAAAATTGGGACTGAAAAAATGGTAAATTTGGAGCAGTAGTTGAAAAATAATTAGGTTTTTCCAATGGTGGTCGGACGACCACCGTTGGAAATGTACACAAAAATACAATTTTCTTGAAAACGACTTCACACCAGGTGCCATAATTTAGCTGGATGCTTTAGACTGTCATTTACCAACATCCTAGTATTTTATAAAAACGTGGTAGTTTTATTTTTCGATGTTTGCAAATATGTTGTATATATTCCCTTTAACTGGTTAAACCTAAATATTCATTGCACCTTCACTTTAAATACATACATACATGTAGGTGCACGGTGACGTGTTTGTTGGGATGACTCATGCTGTTTGTCACTGTACATGTACCATACATGTACATGTACAGTGTACATGTATACACCTAGCATTGGTACGTGTTATAATCGAGCTTGTGTTGAAGAAAGTGCCATTTTAATACACACATGGTAACATGTACATGTACACAGTACTGTACAAAAACAACACATTTTGCCTGTCCTTATGAATTAAAAGAGTGATTTTGGAAAAAGGTGTGCATTTTATTTTCAACATTGTAGTTTCAATTTAGCTTTCCATAATGGATTCCTCAGCTTGAGGAACAAACAGTGACACGTAGATGTGTATTGTATTGTATGCATCTATAGAGCAAGGAACATCGTACCGGTACATCACCGGTAAATATTTACTGTAGGCCTACATGTACATTTGTAAATATGTCGCACATAATTGTATCGTCAATGTTTTGTTGATAATGTTTAGTGAGATCTTAACTGAAATATTAATACATACATGTGTACATGTGATTCTGTCATTTTTTCTATAGTGAGGTTTGCCTGAGATGATTTATTGATACACAATTGTATCTATACATCTCATTTTCCCCATGGTATTGGCCAAAAATAAGCCAAATATAGGGCCAGCTGGACATAGTACTAAATGGTATCCATCCATTACCAGGGTGAAAACCACTTAACCCAGTCACTGTGGGTGTACAGTACTTAGTGAATGGCTTTGTCTGAATGATAATTACATCCAAATTTACTTCATGGCCATTGGCTAAAGTGCCTGTGTTTATAAACAAATTGTGAATGTTAAAGGGAATGCACATCATTGGCTTTTGCTGTAATTTTCAGAAATGAACTATTTGAGGGGCTAGTATAATAGATCAAATATTGTTACACTGACATGTTTGAAGTTTTGTGTTCGAAAATGCTAGAAAAACCAGGAAAAAGCAAACATTTTCAAGTAGTCTGGTTCCCTGACTCCACTAAAGATAAAATGGATCAATTTATAGATGCCTGAAAATTGTAAGGTAAGGGAACCAGTCTAGCTGGCCTGCACCCGTTCATGAACATGTAACCAATAGCAAACAAAATTTGGACTGAAAAAAATTGCAAATTTGGAGCAGTAGTTGAAAAATAGTTAGGTTTTTCCAACGGTGGTTGGCCGACCACCGTTGGAAATGTATACAAAAATGCCATTTTTTAAAAAATGACTTCACACCAGGTGCCATAATTTTACAAGATGCTAGAGAATGTCATTTACCAACATCCTAGTAAGGTATTTCGTAAAAACGTAGTTTTATTTTTCGATGTGTGCAAATGTTGTATATTCCCTTTAAGTTTGAAATTTTTAAAGTTTACAAAAATATTCATGTACCCTTACGCATGTGACATTTGGATTGTTATGGCTTTGTTTACAAACTTACAACTATTCATATTTGAATGTTTTGTATCGGTATGCAGAATTGAAAATGATTGTGTACAGTGTAACTAGAACATACCAGTATGTACCGGGTACACATAAAACTTGCTTTACATTTTAAATAATATATTTTTCTAAAATTTTGCAAAATAGAAACTGATTTTCTTCAGAGTAAACAATGAACAGATAATTTAAACAAGTTCTTTCTTTTCTGTTTTAATTGTTTTCATCCGATAGGCCAAGCTATATCAATGAAGGATACAATTGTTTATGTGAGCATGTTTAACCATGTGGTAACATTGGGGACTCCGTACATTAGAAATAGGCATCACAAGTGTCAGCGGATTGAAAAAAATATACGATTGAATTCCTTACCTGTGTACGTAAATAAGAACAGGATTTTTTTTTCATCATAAATTGAGATTCTTATCATTCATTCTGAGATAGGAAACATTTTTTGTTAGGAAACCCAAATAATGAAACTATGGGAAACAAAAAACATGAAGCAATGATTTGTTTACCATGTTCCTTGTTCAAAGAGCCCCCTGAAGGTGTGAGGAGTTGGTGGGATAATCTGACATGCATGAGTGATGTCATGCATGCAAAAGCGACTGAAAGGTGCCTCAGCGTCCACCTCATTTCATATCTCACTTTAATATATCACTTAATGAAAAACCGTCTGCATCACTAATTAAATTCAGCTGGATTGGATGTGATACTTAGGGTGTTTGTGCTAGCTCCTTTGTCTGATTTGCCATCCATGTGCTCATGGTGTGGGTGTTTTCTGCATGGAACTGCCAAGGCAGGTTTCTTTCCTGAGAAACACTGTAGGCTACATTATGTAGAAGCCTGAAATGTCCTCTTTAAACATCAGTCCCTCTGCTTGTAGTGTTTGTACAAGT